TTTGTCTTTTTCTATACTCTCTATCGATATTTTATATTTCTAGATTCAAATGATGGAGATCAAAATAAATCAACCAAGGTTTGTAGACAAAATTTCATTAGACTTTAATATAAAAAATTTTTATTCTCTTGAGATTTATGTCATTATAAAACGATACTCTTTTTTTTCACCTTGAATAAGCACTGTTTTCTTTCAATCTTAGACGGTTAATGCTGATGGTGGTTATATACAATCACGTCATGCACATTCAACACATTCTGCTCCAGCTTTAATGAGTAATCCAAAGATTTATCCATATGAAGAATTGAAAATTATGTTTCGAAAACGATTACCATCAGATGTTAATCGTGATCATCTTGAAGTATATTTTCATCTATATATTTCTTTATAAATAAACTTTTTTTATTTAGCGTCATTTATCTGATAATGAATTTCATAAATTATTTCAAATGACACGAATGGAATATTATCGTTTACCTGATTGGCGTCGTACTGATCTGAAAAAACGTCTGAAGCTTTTTTAAATCTATTGAGAATGCTATTATTTGCCTTTCTTTTTTTTTCTTTGTTTCAAAAATGCCTATCGCTTTTTTTTTTAATATTTTAAATGTGTGCGTATATAAAGCTTTTTATCTAAGACAGGTTGTGTCAGATTATAGAAACATAGAATTGACAGTGATTAGGATTTCTTTTCGGGTTTGGGATAATTTGCTTTCTTTCTTTCTTTCTTCTCTTTTCTCTTTTGTTGTTGTTTATTATTTTGCTTTGCAAATGATTTGTAAACGAAAAATTAAGAATCTATTCAATTAGAAATTAATTGTATTTCCGCTATCGCTATCTATCAAAGAAAAAAAACTGACTAATGAGCTATCGACTTGGATAAAAAGATATTTAATTCTGTGTATATTTATTTTAGACAAATAAAAAAAAAAGATGAATGTAAATAAAAATATTGATGAATCAGCAAATACAAGGAAACGACAATGTGAATTTGAAGAGTCTAATGATGCTAAACATAAAGAAAAAGAACAGAACAAACCGATATCTGAACATATAGACATACGATTTGATTTTGTTGTTGAGAAGTAAATGAATAATCCTTTGAAATAAATCAAATCTATCTATCTATCTATATATAATTTTAGTAATAATATTGAAGATGAAGATATATCAAATTTCTTAGAGAAATTAGTTGAAATCAAACAACAACTTAATCATACTAAATCATTACTTTCTGATAAAGATATTACTGATTGGAACAGGTTCGAATATATTAATCCTACTGAAATAACTAATGACAATCATCTTATTGTTATTTGATAAGAAGGAAAGAAAGATTAATCTTAATTAATTTTATTTTTTATTCATTAAGACATACTGCTTATATGAATACTGCTTCAACTATTGTACCTTATTTACGTGAAAAATTACATATTGAAATTGGAACACAAGCATGGGCAAAAATGTTTGAAATCTTAGCTAAATTCCAATTAATTAATCATGTAAATAATGAAAAATGGAGAACACTTCATTTATGTGAAGCACCCGGTGGATTTATTTCTGCTCTTAATCATTTTCTCATTACTCGAGGTATATGATTAATACATCATCATTCTTTTTTTTTATAGTTTTTTTTATTTATTTTTAGAAGAAACAAAAAATATCGAATGGGAATGGTTTGCTCAAACATTAAATCCCTATTATGAACATGATGAATTAACAGCAGCAATGCTTATTGATGATGATCGTCTAATATATCATACCATCGATGACAATCATTGGGATTTTGGGACAGATAATAGTGGTAATATAATGAATCAAGCAAATATTAATCATTATATTTCACGTTTTCAACCAATGAATATTAGTTTTGTAAGTGTAATATGATATCTCAAGAATCATTGAATTTGAAAACTATCCTATTCGAATATCAAAAATTGACTTATGTAATCTTATCTTTTTTATTTATCGATGAGAAATAATGTGCTTCTTTTTTTTTGTGTAACAAGATAGAACTACCTTGAGAATAATCAAACATCTAGAAGTATTATATTTGATTAAACTAGATCTCTATCTTCTTAGTCAAAAGATTATTAATAAAAATGACTTCAGAAATCTGTTAAGTATGTAATAGTAAAAAGAAGACACAATGAGTTTTAATAAATATTCGATTTGATGAGCCTTATCATCTAGTAGCTATTTTTCATTATATTAATCTCATATGTGTGTTACTATCCTTGAACTGCGAAGCCATTAATTAATTTCTTCTGATATTATGTAATAATGCGAGAATATATGTATACATTGATAATATTGAACACATGTTGCGAATTAATCGTAATCGAGAATGTCTATATGTTTATTCCGTTTGAAACATATTTTTTAAAACATTAATTAAATAAATACCCTTGAATCAAGGTGAATAAAATGAAAAATTAATTCTATCTATACAAATCTCAAGATACTAACAAAATTAATAATGAAAAAAAGAAAAGAAAAGAAAAGAAAACCTAGATATCGTGACTTGATTCTTTGACAGTCTCTAGTGTATTCGAAAATTGTATAACATTTGAATTAAAATCTGATGAATTAATAAGACATTAATATATTCTTCTTAGATAACAGCCGATGGGAGTTTTGATGTACAAAATAATCCCGGTGAACAAGAATATCTTGTTTATCCATTATTGAAAACGGAAGTTTATATTGCATTATCATGTTTAATAACACATGGAAATTTTATTCTCAAATTATTTACAATATTTGAACAAATAACAATTGATTTAATCTATATACTCTATCGAACATTTCGTCAGGTAAAAAAATCTTTTTTTTTGGGTTATTTTTAATCAGGAATTCTTTAGATATCAATGTTTAAACCAAAAACAAGTAAAGTAAGATAAATAATTTAGTGTTATTTTTAAATATTAATACAACGTATTTCTTTATAAGAAAGGTAATTCAGAAGTCTATGTAATTTGTATGGATTTTAATCGTGAAAAATTTACACAATGTTTTACGGATAATCTTGAAATTAAATCAATACCTTATTCAATATCATTTGTTAAACAACTCGTTGAATGTTCGGAATTATTTCAATCCTATCAAATAAATACTATTGAACATAATTTATATTATTTCAATAATTTAAGCCGAAACTTTATTAAAAAATTACATAAAATAAAAGCGAATCTATTGGATAGATTTCTTAATGAAAGTCAAGCAAGAGAATTATTATCAACTGATCGACATTTATTAAATACAAATCTCAAATTTCAACGTTTATATCCATACAATAATCGATTAACTCGAACAGGGACATTTAATAATCAACATCAAATCGATATTAATATGATACAAAACCAAATTTACAAAGGAGATTTTTGTTTAATATGTTCAAAAAATGAAGATAATGATTTATGCCAAACATGTCAAACAATATGTCAATTTATTGAACATCGACCTACAACAATTTCTCAAATATACATTGGACAATTAACTGCAGATAGTCCATTAATGATTGATTGTGTATTTGGTACACAATCGATAAATATACAAAATTCATGTTTTTGTAATAGATATTTACTTGAATTATGTCAAAAAATGAATTCATCTACAATTTCATTAGTAAGATGATCGAGAACTTCCTGGAATTGCACTGCATCTGTTTATAGAATAATATTCCTAAGATTCAACAAAAGTCTCGGAACTCAGGCAATAACCAAGAAGGTTAATTGGCGTTCCTACAAACAGATATAGTGCAGTTCTGGATCATCATCCTATATTGAATAATATATATATACTTTATTTTTCTTCAATAAAGAATGAAGATTCAATTAATTTAACATCAATTCGAAATTCATCATCAGTAGAAATTTCCAATGAAGAATTTAAACAACTTCAACAATTTGCTAGTGATTATCAAATGAATGTATGTTTTAACTTTAAATAAATTAAAAATGAAGAATACTATCGGTGTTAGAATTAAGTAGGATAAATATCACGAGAGTGGCCATTTCAAATTGAAATAGATTAATTCATGACATTTTTTTTCTTTCCAAACTAATCATCTTTGAAAAGCACGCAATAGAATGCATGAAAATGACCTACTACTTATCTAGATGTGAAACTTCTGATTTTTACAGTCTTTATTATCACAGTTTGACATTCCGGTGAAAAGTATGAGAGTACATTATATCGGGAACTATAGATCATTATGGTGCATGTTTTTCAAAGGTGATTAATTTTCGCGTCTTTTCATCCATGAAAATCGTAGACCACACTAGCTATTTTTACTTACTTCTGACGTCAAAAATACTAATATTGAAAATAATGATATTTTCAAACATAATTTTATTCGGTACATTGATTATCATAATAACATAATTTAACTGAAAATTTGAGGAAATAGAGAAGTACTTTAAAGGGGTAAAGTATGTTATTTTTTCTTTAAGAAAAATCATTATAAAATGCCTTGCTGACATCTGAGGAATATGAGTACAATTTGAATATAACGTCAGAGAAGATATATAATACTCATTTTATAAATTACGATATCTTTATCTCGAAAAATCTTTTAGTTACAATCAAAAGAAGGTGTTTATTATATTCAATCAACACCTATTCTTACTCGTTTACAAGCATCAGTAATTTATCTTCTTACTCATACTTTTGAAAAAACATCAGTTTATGTAATTCCATCATCATCATCTTCACATTTACTGTTTATTTTTGAAACATTTCAAAAGCCAATCAATAATGAATATCAAACAATTTGTCCATCATTATCAAACTCAAAACTTTTACAATTTATTCATATTTATCAGCTATTAGGTAAATTTTTAAAAATAAAAACAAAATTTTTTTTTTGAAAATTATTTTCTCTTAGATCAACATTTTGCTTTGCATCTTATACAAGCAAATAATATATGTTTACAATTGAAATATATTACATAGAATTTCTATTCACAACTAAAAAAAAACAAATAAATAAAATTTGATTAACAACATGAATAATTTGTTTCAGTATTAGTCGTTTTAACAAGATCATTTAATGATATATTAGCATTATTTTCATGGATTTTTTTGTCAAGTAAAGCTTGTGCTGTTGCCATAAAAGCTAATTCAACATTTTGACCTGTTTTAGCGGATGTTTCAAGAAAACTTATTTGAAAATCTCTTGCTAAACGTTCACCAGTTTCACGTGATATAACACGTTGAGATTTATCGACTTTATTACCAATTAACATTATAATAACATCATTATGAGCTGATTCTTTTATTTCACTTAACCAAGATGAAATATTTTCAAATGATGAATACGATGCTATATCATAGAGTAA